ACTCAGTGACCGTAATTGAATGGGGCCCCAGGATGCCTTGGCTAGGACTGGGCTTTGAGTCAAAGACCTCCTGACCCCTGACTGCACCTCCTGCCCCTCTCAACCACCACCGCCTTCTCTGTCCCAGGAAGGCAAGTGAGAGTTGGGGGCTCTGGTACCATGTTGGATAGGAGGAGGTGGTCCTGGCTCACCCCTTTGCATGGCCCCAAGGGCTCAGCTCGAATGTGCAAAGATGGAGAGGCAGGACCACAGAAGGAAAGGCATCGCCCAACCTGTCTTGACCATCCTGACCCTTCTTTCCAGCTCAGAGCAGTACCTGGCCCAGCCTTCACTTGCTCCCTTCGAACAAGTCCCACCACCCCCTCCTGGAGCCATAGAGAACATCCTGTCAGAAGCCAAGCTCCTCGCAGTGAGAAGCTGCGCGTCTCCGAGTCGAGTCTGTCTCCTCACGGGCAACGTGGAAACTCACACCAGCCTCAAAATGTGCTGAGAGCACAAAGGGTCAGGGAGGAAAAACTCTCTATACGCTTAAGTTCAGTGATTGGGGACCTGAGAATTAAACTGATAGAAAATAAATTAGCAAGAGAAAAGCCAGACTTTTATTCACATTCGTAGGCAGGGTTCACAGAGAAACATGAGTCAAGTAGGCAGCTAGAATGTGGGCCTTCGAGACCACCTTAGTAGAGGGCGGGGAGAGGGCACCCATGACTCTTAGGAAAGATAAACAGACCCCTAGGAGAAGAGATGGAAAGATAGCAGTTCTGCGACTATGTCTGTTACCTGCTTTATCCCTGGGCGGCTCCTCAGCTTCCCTCTGGAGATAGGAGTCAGTCCTGGTTGCGACACTTCCCGGAAGGAGATTCAGGACATTTGAATTCTTTTGGGAGGCTCTGCTTTTAGGCAGATAAGGAGTGTTCAAAACAACAAACAAGTCGGCTCTCACAGTGGGGTGTTCTGGAGCCCCCAGAAGGCTGTCAGGTTCTGGACATGGCAAGCACCTGGTGGGGAAGGCCAATCCATGCTGACCCACCCCATGGCCTTCTGTCCCATGCTTGGGAGGTGCCTCAAACCCCTTCTCTCCCACCCAAATTTCCTGTCACCTGCTACTATATAGCTCTGTTCTCTGTGCTCTCAGCAAAAAATGAGTGGGTGTCCCATGGGGCACACCAGCCAGTCCTGGCCCATGCAGCACACATTTCTGGACAGAGTCTCCCTGTCAGCCTGCGCTGGACTCCAGAGTGGCCTGATCAAGCAGCCAAGCGCCTTCCTCTGAGAGCACCGCCTAGTAAGAGAGAGAGGCAGACAGACAAACCGACACTTCTGCCTATGCCAGGAGCCCGGGGGTTCTAAGGAAGAGCAGGGGCTCTCAACCTCTGTGACTTGTTGATGCCAGGAAAGAGCTGGGTCCACAAAGGGAATGGAAGGATTGTGGAAAGCAGGGAGGGAGGGAGTGGGGAGGGAGGGAGGAAGGAAGGAAGGAAGGAAGGAAGGAAGGAAGGAAGGAAGGAAGGAAGGAAGGAAGGAAGGAAGGAAGGAAGGAAGGAAGGAAGGAAGGAAATTGGCTGGTTTCCTTCCCTCATCTGCCTTTCTCCTCTCTGTACTTATTTGGGGCCTGCCCCTACCTTCACTCCATCTCAGGCCCCAGATCACCAGATATCCCAATAGCTGCTCCTGCCAGATAAGCTCTCTCCAGATAACCCCTTTCCCTTGTAATTGAGTTTAAATATTGATCCAACACAATCAAGGCAGGTTAATAATCAACCCCACCAAGCTCTGGGAGCTCCTGGCCATCATGCTTTTTCCCGGAGTAAAGCCCAGGGGCCGCAGGGTGCGGCCTTCCCTAGAAAGCATGTTCATCTGGGGACAGGGGCAAGGGTTTTCTAGTGCTGGCTCTTCAGACCCTCTCCAAGCTGAGCACGGAAGCCCCAGGGCCTGCCCTTCCCACTGCAAGGACCAGGCGAAGACAGAAGACTGGATGCTTTGGAAAGGGTAAAATACTCTAGCCAGGGAAGGGTGAGAAGGAAAACCAGTTCTGCTCAGTCACTGCACTCACCTGGGAGAATGTGCCCACATCCCTTTCCTCCAGTAGCTTTTTCCCTCACCCCAGCTGATTCCCTCAGGTTCCTGGGAGTTTTGTCCTCATGAATCAGCCCTGTAAGGCCCACACTGTCTAACATACACCCAGTGGAATCTGGAGCCTCCTGGGCCGAGGCCCAGACAGTGGGCGCTCCCCACTGGTGACTTTCTAGTCATCTGTGTGGACTGCCTGTGCCAGTCACATGGGATCCACAGCAGCCCAGGATGGCTCATGGCGCAGGGCATGGCACAGGGCAGACAGTGGGGTGGAGAGCTGGTGGCCTCCACACCTGCATCCAGAAGGACTTTAGGACCCTCAGGGGCCCCTGTCAACAGATTTCACAACTGAAATCACCTTCCCCTAAAGTAAGGATGGGAATCCCACAGGAGACAACCCCATCCCCAACCCCTTCCTCAGGTTCTGGGTGACCTTGGAGTCGACTTAATCCTAACATTTTCCAAAGGACCGAACTTCCAGCTCCCACTGAGGTCTGAAACTCCCAGAGGCTTCTTTAAGAAAAACAGCCAGTGCCTCCAGGCCAAAGGTTCTCAAAGTGTACTGTCCTCTCCCCTCCAGCAAAGAGCTCCGACTGGGAACCAGTTAGAAATGCACATTCTCAGCCCCTCTCCCCGCTGAATGGAGCCTCTAGGTGGCGCCCACCCTGTTGTTGACTCTGCTGTTCTAGGACATGACTCTTAAGTAAATTAACCCCTTTAGCCCACAGCACAGCCCTACCTAGCAGGCATAAGCAGTATTCCCGTTTTGCGGACGAGGAGAGTGAGTCTGGGAGAGTTAAGTCACCATGCCCAAGATCAGGAAGCTGGAAGCAGGTTTGCCCCAAGGCACTGTTAAGCACTACTCCAGGGGTTCTCCTAGTGTGCTCCCTCCAGCAGCTGCATCAGCATCTCCTGGGGGCTTTTTAGAAAAAAAGGCAAACTCTCAGGCCCCAGCTCAGAACTACTGAGTCAGAAGCTCCGGGCAGGGAGCCCCGCCGTCTGAGGAACAAGCCTTCCAGTATTCTGATGCCATTTAAAGAACACATCTCACCCTGCTGACTGAAACTAGGAATCACGTGGAATTCATCCTAAAGGCTTCTTGCCCATGTCATGGCTGAGGGAACGTGCTGGAAATAGGCTGCCTTGCAGTGTGGCTCTGCCCCTGCCCATGGAAGGCCTCTGGGCCACGAGCTGTGACTTAGCTGCGCCACTTGCCCAGTTCCCTCCATGGTTGATGGGAAAGGGCAGCCTCTGCAGCCCCCCCGACACTCTAGACCCCACTGGCAGGAGGGCCTACCCAGGGTGGGCTGAAAGGACTCGGGGTACACAGCTTCAGGCTTCACGGTCTTTCTATTCACATCTGAGGTCCCTGTTGGGGCAGTGGCCACAATATACATTGGGCAGCCAGCAGCTACGCCAGAAAGACAGAGAGATGTGAGATGACTCCCAGGCCTGACCCCTGATGGCTTGGAGGCCTTGACAAGCTCCCTAGCTCAGTACTGAGCTCTGGAGCCAATCCCATGCACTGCACTGAGAACACACACCAGAACCCCCACCCCCAAGACCTGCAAGGCCCTGAGTCCAGATTGTCAAAGTGCAGGGCACAGCCTACCAGAGGGCCAGTAACTCAACTTGGAAGATCAGGTCCTGCTGAAAACATGAAATGGAATAGTTGGAGTATTGTTCTGTGAAACCCATTACTAGGTGGGTGTATCAGGTCATGTGGAAAACTCAGACTCACCACTTCATCTGACCTGCCCATACATGGCCCCACTCTCCTTTGCTTCCCATCTCAGAATCACTCCTGGTTTCACTGGGCATCCCCTCCAGTACCCAGCCCTGTGCTGCCTCACACGCAAGATCCCAGGTAAGCCTCATGAGCCTGCAAGCCCTGTTTCACAGATGAAAAGACTGACCATCAGACAGGCTAAGAAGCTTCCTCTGAAACTCAGGCACAGGCATGCTGAGAGTGCAGTGGGGAGGGGGCTCCAGAGGAGGAGGTCACAGCCCTGGGTGCAGAGCATCCTCATTTGGTTAGAATGGAACCCTAAGAACAGAAGAGCTTGGAAGATGTATGGTCTGGGTAGGAAAATGCCAAGCTCGTTTAGGAAGGCTGGTGAATGCCTCACAAGGCTGCAACCTTGGCCCTAGCTGGTGACAAGGGTCTCGAGTGGTGGCACAGCAGGTGTGCACACCAGTGTTCAGCACAGCCCAGCCACTGATAAGCACTGATGTCCCAAGACCTCCCAAGAAGAAGGCTACTATCCAAAAAGGAGAACCGTGTTGGTGAGGATGTGGAGAACCCCAAACCGTGTACAGAGCTGGTGAAAATGCAAGACGGTGCAGCCAATGGGAGAACAGTGTTGCCCTGCGCTCCAGCAATCCCACCTCCAAGCACGGAGAAGTGAGGGCAGATGCAAATGTACCTGCACAGCCCTGCGTACAGTGGCATTATTCACAGCGCCAGAAGGGAGGGAGCAACCCAGTGTCCGCGGATAAACACAATGGAGTAGACATAAACACAATGGAGTAGACGGTGGAGTGTTATTCTGCCTTAAACAGGAAATTCTGTCATATGCTACAATACTGGATGCATCTTGAGGACATTATGCTAAAAGCGAAACAGGCCAGTCCCGAAAGGTAAAATACTGTATGATTCCACTTACAAGGTACGTGGATGAGTTAAATTCAAATTCAAAGACAAAGTAGAAGGCAGAAGCTGGGATATTACAAATCTAACGGGTGCAGTTTCAGCTGGGAGAGATGAGTGATACTGGAGGTGGATGTTGGTGGCATAACACAAATGTATTCAATAGTTGATGCCCCCGAACTGTACACTTACGAGTGATTAAGATGCTAAATTTCATGTCATATGCTTCTCACAATTTGAAAAAGAGAAAGACCTGAGGCACAGGGGTTTCTTACAAATGATTTTTATTTGCATTCTGACCCAAACACAGATCCCACATACAGATTGCTCGTCTGCACAACGGTACAGTAACAAGTGCAAAATATGCTTTATTTCAGGTACAAAAACAACGTGGCAGTGTGACAACTTGTCTTGACGCCCACCTTCCCGTGACCTATCGTGCCCACTTGACCCACGCAAGGGCTATACCCCCAAAAGATACTCCCACCACCTCTAGAAAAGTCACCCAATCTGGAGATAGGTGGGGAAGTCGTATTTTAAGAAAGAAATCACTTTAAATACATGACATTAGAGGAAACAGTAACCAAGTTTTTACCCAGCAAGGGGGAGGCTGGGGGGAGTGACATACAAAACAACCCTTTTCTGTCTTTTAACAACCAAGCTCCACAGATGTCCCCCTGCTCCCGGGGTGCACTAAGCCCAGTGACCGGAGTCTCAGGGTGAAAAGTGGAGTTGAGCATGAAGGACCGCCCCCACGTATCTGGGAGGGTGTGGGATGGACAGATCTAACTTCTCAGGCTTGATTTCCTTACCTGGAAAACCGGGCTGGGGGACACCCAGAGCAGGGTGGGGGATCAGATGTGACAATGGCAAAAGCACTGAGGAAGGCCCGAGCAGCAGGGCCAGTCAGTTCTGCCGCTGCTGATTCCGACGGACGTCTCTAATGGAGGACTGGCTGCGGCGCCCAGCCACCTGCACAGGAGGGAAGGAGCAAGGGCCCCAAAAGGTCGACCCAACTAACAGAGGGTGGGACCACCCAGCTGCAAGTTGGACCTCAACAAGGGGGAGGGCATCGGAGGTAGCCAGCTTCTCCCCAGGGCAGACCCAGCAACTCAACTCGAGCCTGTGACACCATCAGGGAAGGCTGGAGCTCCCAATCACGAGCTTGAGGCAGCACCAGCCTTTCCCTTCGCAGGAGGAAAAGCAGCAGGAACGAGGGAAGGAATTTTAGAACCCTAGAGGAGCCAAGAGATCCCAGGTTCTCAAGGTGCCAGTAAGAGGTGAAGGTCAGGCGGCATGTCTGGGGACGGCAAAAAGTCGCGGTCACCCAGGTCAGAAAGAAGGCCACGATCCAGCACAACTCAGTGACCCATTAACACCAGCACAGAACCTCCCCACATGCGGCTCCCTGAGCAAGGTCCAGCCCAAAGGCCCTCCTGTCTCTAGGGATGGAAGGCAGGCAGGAAGAGGGGGGGAAAGATCAGCTCTGCCGGTCACCCACAGGGGCTGGGGCTGGAGAAGGTCCCTCCAGACAAATGAGAGCAAGACGAACAGGCAGGGGAGACTCATGGACTGCTAAGCAGAAGGCTTCTCCTGCTCCAAAGCTCAAGACAAAATGCTTTTATTATTTAAAGAAATCCTTATTGTCTGGGATCTTCCTCAAAATAATCTAGTAGGGCTAGAGATGGCGGAGATCTAGCTCAGCGGATAGCAAACGTTATCTACAAAGGGCTGGAAAGCAGACACTTGAGGCTTTCAGGGTAAAGAGGCAAACTATTATCAGCATAAGAGTAACTTCTGTAACTTTTTTGTTGATAATAATTGAATATATTTCTTTGTAAGACAGGTCTACTATTGAGAAAAATTTGGGGGGTGGGACAACAGTTAATTGGGCTCAAGGTAATGTTCCCTATCACGAAGAAGACCACAGAGCTGGAGTAAGCTGGGACAGTAGCTGCAGTCTGGACCCTGATGAGTGGGTGTAGACCCGTCAGGGGGGCAATAAAAAGTGATCAAGTGGGGTTGGTTCTGCTAAAAGGGCTCCCTGTCACCTTCTGGCTCTCTGCAGCTAAGCTCACCCACAAGGCTCCTCGGGATGTGGGGCCTGAGAATGGCTGCCCACACTGCCCCTTTGCAAGGCGACTAGTTTGCTTGCCCAGATGGCAAGCCAGTCAGTCCCCTCCATCCCATCAGCTGCCCTGGAGAGAAGCTAATCCACCCCTCAAAGCTATGGAGACACTGCCCCAGAAGGTTCCTAACATGGCAGTTGGAGAGGGGGCGAGCAAGGCGAGGTCATGCCCGGTCCAGCCCTGGGCCACTGACACACCATTCAGACCTGTCTGCTTTCCCACCCTCAGGGGAGGGGAGAGAGAAAAGCCCAGGAGTCTTTGCAAAGAGGTCTGGACAGTTTAGCAGAAGCAGGAAGGAGCTCTAGGAACGTCCCTGAGTGGATCCCAGGAAGGAGGCCCAAGGGCCCTGAGCAGAATCCTCGCTGCCCCCAGGTCCCAGCAGGTTTCACTGAACCTTCATGTCTCTACGCCAGGCCCTGCCTGAAGCTCCCACTGCTCTGTTCCCAAAGGGCAAAGGGAAGGGGCTTGGTTGGCAACCAGAGTTGGTGTGCAAACATTTCCTACTGACTGACAGAATCAGAGTGGTGACTAGAGGGGAGAAAGTGGATGCAAGGTGCATGTGTGAGGACACCTCCATGGGCTTGCTTTTAGTCCTTGTCAGATGTCAGCTGCCAGCCCGGTGCCCCTCCCTGGAAGAGCTGGACTTACTTAAGTTGTAGGTTCCCCCCAACTAGAGCACCTTTACCCGAAATAGCTTCATCAATAGAGCCTGAACTAGGAGTGCCACCTAAGGGAACAGCTTGACCACATCAGTCAAGATGGACTGAGCACATCCCAGACCGAGGAGCGGTGGGGCTCCTGTGCACACACTAACCCCCAAGCAGCATCGCTGCTGCAGAGCTGCTCAACACAACAGAGCTTCCACCCTCAGGTCACCCGGGAATGCCCTGTGGCCACTGCAAACATACAAATGCAATATTCAGCCCAGTTATTCCGAGCTAGACTTGCTTCTTAAAGACATGACCAAGAGTCTATGCCTGTGTCAAGATGCACGCAGTCTTGCAGTGCGCATCCCGGCTGATCGGAACGCATAAGTGGATCTATGTACAACCAAGACGTGCACACACATGATCTGTCCATGGGAAGACTTTGATGGAGGGGAAAATGACAAAGGCTCCTCAGCTCTCAGATTCACCACAGGATTGAGCCACTCCCAGTGTCCTTATCTTAAGGGAGGAGAGGAGGCTGACCCAGAGGCAGAGACTCATGTCAAGAACTGGTCTGGTCTCAAAAAATAAAAAAAATAAAAAAGAACTGGTCTGGGGCCCTAGGACCTGTGACTCTTGTCCCTGTCAACATCTCCAGCACCTCAGGGGATCAACCTTTTATCATCAATGCCACTGGAGGCTCCCACCCCCATCCTCTGCTTTTCTACCTTCTCAAATGCCCTAGGGCTTCCTCCCTCTGCTCTACTGACAACTGCAAAATAGGCTTTTGCATTTTTTCCCCCCACTAACTTGTTAATGATTTTCTGACCTAAGTTACTCAGACCAGCCCCTGAAGCCACGCTGGACCTGGAAACATGTGGCACACTGCTCGGTCAGCTCCACTCCGCAGCCAGTGAAACTCCCATTGGGTTAACAGCTTTATCCAAGGGGCCTCAGGCTGCCTGGGCAGGTCACCAGGGCACTCCCTGACCTTTGCTTAGGACCCCAAGCCAAGACTTCCAACTCCCCAGCCCAATCTGATCACCTGATCCTATTGCTCTCCCACTCAAAAGCCTCATGTCTTGATTATAAAGGTGCAACTTGGTAAACAGGAAAAGGTTCATCACAACCTTGCAACTCTTGCCCAACAAAGAAGCATGATGGCCTTAGGGATTCTGGTTCAAGAGGTGGCCTGAGGACGGGGCAATATCTTCTTGTCCTCTGGGGATCACTTTTTTTTTTTAAATTGCTGCTGCCATGGAGAAGACCTACAACACATGGGATGGAGGAACTGCCTGGCCCATGAGGCCCAGACCTCTGGATTCGGAACCCACAGCAAAGACACTGGACAACAGGCACATGAAAAGCTGCTCAACACAATCAGCTATCAGGAATTGAAAATCCAAACCACAATGAGACACCACTTCCCACCCACTAAGGTCTAATGGAAAAGACAGATAATAGCAAGTGTTAGTGAGAATGTCGAGGAAGTGGAATCCTCTGACGCTGCCGATAATAATGTAAAATGGTGTAACTGCTTTGGAAAATAATCTGGCAATTCCTCAAAATGTTAAACAGAGTTATTATTATATGACCCAGCAGTTCCATTCCAATGCATATTCCCAAAAGAAATGAAAACATATATGCACACAAAAACTTGTACAAATATGTTCATAGCAGCATTATTCATAATAACCAAAAAGTAGAAACAATTCAAATAGCCTTCAACTGACAAGTAGGTATACAAAATGTGGCCTATCCATACAATGGAATACTATTCAGCTATAAAAAAGATTGCCATGTTCAACATGGATGGCCCTTGAAAACATTAGGCAAAGTGAAAGAAGCCAGCACAAAAGACCATTATATGACTGCATATAAATGAAATGTCCAGAATAGGTAAATCTATATGGGAAGTAGGTTCACGGTTGCCTAGAACTAAGGGAGGCAGAAAGGAAGGTAGGAAGTGATTGCTAAAGGGTGCAGGGTTTCTGTGGAGGGTGATAGAAATGTTCTAAAACTGACTGCTGATTCTGTGAGTTTATCAAAAGCCATAGAATTATATACTATAAATGTGTAAACTGTATGGATGTGAACTATATTTCAGTATAGCTGTCACCCACGCCCTTCCACCCCACCCTCCAAGAGAGGAGAAGATATTAAGAGCCTATGATTACACTGTGAAAACACCACACCTGTCTCCCACCACCATCACCAACAGGCGCCCGCCCTCTCCGCAGTGTCCTGGCTGACGTGACAGGTCTCCATCACAACCCTGTCGCCGTGTGACATCAGGCAGCTGGTTTTGCCTTCTGGACTTGAGTTTCCCCGCCTATCAAACAAGGTCTCCCAGTTCTGATGGTCTTTGACACCAGCACTATGTTCCCCAAAAGCCCCACTCCAGGAGCCAGGAAATCCTGCTCTTTGGTCATATGACTTCACCATGCTTTGGAAAATGAACCCAAATTAGAAAGTGCTGAGCGATCCCTGCTGGTCCCGGATGGATCACTGGCAAGGTAACAGGCAAGACCAGGAGTGACCCTGGAGCCTACCAACTACCCCCAGCTGGTAACAGGAAGGAAGGTGACCCCACGTGGCCACACAGACATGCCCTTCACACGCACACTATGAATGAAAAAAGATAAGCGTGTAAATGCGGTGGGGTCCTCACAGGAAATCTATGTTCCTGGGAAACCTGGCAAGTTTCATAGTGATTACCTAAGCAGGACTTGGCGCAGGCCCTCCAAGAGGAAGTGGTATCAGCTGATCAACAAGGTACCCATTTCTTAGTTCTCCTTTCCCAAGGTGACTGGGGTGTGTGGGGGGGAAACATACCAAAGGCACTCAAGAGGAATCATTTTGTTCCCATCCCTCTAAGACTCACGAGCATGTGCCTGAAGACAGTCTTCCTAGCCCCTCTCCTGCCCGGGGGCCTGGGAGAACTGGGTCTGTGCGGCTGTCCCTGCCGGGCCCTGTGCTGTGTGTCCCTCCAGCACAGAGATGTGAGCCCACCTCTGGGCTCTGCACACACAGACCCTAGGGAATGGGTAACAGCGAAAGAAGCAGAAGGCACGGAGTAAAGCCACGCCCATCAACCTGTGCGAGTCTGGGAAAGACAGGTGCGCAGAGGGTCACTGAGGGGGCAGCAACATGAAGACGGGAGGACGGGGCCAACTGCCCCCCTCCAGGCAGTAGTGTGCTCACAGAGCCCGCGCCCGGAGCAGGCGAAGGCTGGGGCGAGACAGGCTCTTCTCCGGTGGTAGGAGCGGTCGGAAGGAACCAATACCGGCGGCACCCAGTTACCCAGTGAACTAGTTGCCAATTAAGGGTGTGAGGGGGCTTAGAGATCTTTGCCTCCCATGTTTGCCTCTTTAGAATGGCGGGGCTGGGGAGAAGAACATGGGACCGCTCAAAGCTGGAGGCCAAGAGGAAGGGACAGACGAGTCACTGGCTTTCTATGCTCCAGAGACTGTGCATCCGAGGGCTTCTGCTGGTTGCTGGTCTGTAGCTTTCACAGGTCAGGCAAGGTCCCTCCCAGCCTCAGCTTGCTGGGTGAAGTCGCAGCTTACAGTGGGGCAATCTCTACATCCAAAGGGGTCCGTGGGGCTGAGAGTTGAAAACAGCTGCACCTCTACTTCTGCTCAGAGGCCACATTTCAGGATGATGTGGTAGCCGTCATTGCTCTCGGCTGCAAAAGAGAAACATTGGGCATTTTACAGGAAGAAAGACATTTGGAAGTCATGGAAGGCACGGCAGTCGGGTGCAGGCAGAAGCCCGGCCATGCATATTGGCAGAGACCACCAAGACAAGGCTGCACAGAGCACTGTGTGCTGACAAAAGCGAGATTCAACACATGACTTTGCATCTGCCATGCTGAGTTTCTTCCCGACACCGGGCCTTCCACCACAGCCCTCAGCCCAAGGCCTAAAGGAGGCTGTGGACTAAGTGTGGCTGACAGCTGTTACTACCCCAGGCTTCTGCAGGGCCAGTAGGTCGGATCCAGAGAACAGAAGGGAGGGAGTGGTCTCTCCGAGGCTCAGGGCGTGTGACCCACACACTCACCTTCACCCCGCAGGCAGTCACATTAGTCTTTCCTTTTTCTTGCCACACAGGTGGCTTCCTCTGGTGGGCCTTCATGTCACCCCCACCCAGGCCCGACCACTGACCTCCAGGCTCTGCTGCCCTATTCCCAGCTTGCTCTTCTTCAAAACCCTCATTTTAGAAAACTCAAACACATCTTACTTCGATTTGGCCCCAAGCTCACAGGGAACACATTGCTGGCTGGGGTTTCCCTTGACTGACCTCAGAGTCACTCTCTGTAGTTCCCCCACTTCCAGGGTGAGGTTTCGCAGGAAGTTTGTTTGCTTTTTCCCAGAGGACTTCCTAGTACCCTTCTCTGGAGAGGGCCACAGCACAGGCAGGCTCCACTCCCCAGCCTGGCTCTTTCCTCACTCCACTACCTGGGGCACAGTTGGCATTCTTCAATTAGACAAGACCGGGGGCTTACCTTTTAAGGTGCTGAGGATAAAACATGATTCATCTTGGAAATTTTGCACCATCTGAAAGGCACAAGACAGACCTCGTTCCCTCAACGAGTCCATAACATGAAAAGGCTCGGTGACACTCGCAGGCCACTTGCAGCCCTCAGAAACTACAGTGTGCAGGACCATGGTTATGCTTAACTTTCACTAAGAAAACATGGTCAAAATACATGTGCAAAGTGATTACAATTTTAAGTAACAAAAACTGAACATATAGGTCAGACAGAAAGCTGCAAGGGAAGCAAGATGTTAACATTTGATATGGGATACATTTTTGTTGTTTTCCCTAGTTACTCGGTCTTCTTAGAAGGGACATGTCACAGCAGTGAGCATTGTGTTCACCTGTTCCCAGCGTGGTGTGCGTGTGTGTGTTGGCAACAGATGAAAAAACAAAACAGATTTCAAGAAAAAACTAAAGTAGAAAACCTAGGTAATGAATGCACCCTGCCTATCAGAATTTTGGGGGATTGAATATAAACAGACACACCCTGTGTGTACAAACGAGAACTATTATTACCAGTTACCTTTCTGGTGACCTTGGTAAAAGTCACTCTTTTTGCTCTCAGCCTCTGTAGGGTAAGGTAAAAGTATCAGGCTTTTCTGCCCTCCCGATAGATGATGGATAGATGATGGATCAGGATAGATGATGGATCCTTGTGGTCCTGAATGCATGCCTGATGGCGGGCACCTGGAGTAGGGTGTGGGCACATGTAGATGGGATTCACCTGGGCTAAGACTGGGCTTTTAAGGGCGGCGTCACGGGGACGCCAGTAAAAGCCGAAAAGCAGAAGCACGAGAGCCAAGAGAAGCAGAGAGACCACCAGAGAACGCCGGACAGCCCAGAATGAGTAAAGACTTGCTGGGGGCTGCCAGCCTCCTGGGCCCCCAGGACCCCTGCTTGCCGTGTACCTGGTAAATCCCCATAAAAACCTGAAAAGCCACTGAGGACTGCAAGGACTCTCTCCTCCTTTACCCAGTCTGCTGGATTAGAAATCCTGCTCCGTTGCCTTCCTGCCCCTTACAGCCTCCATGCCCTATCTGTAAAATGGGGTTGTTTTAATGATAAAAGGGGTGTGTGTGTGTGTGTGGCCAGAATGTGGGGTGATGGGACCAGACACCCATGAGGCCTAGTACAGATGTAAATCTCTCCCACAGATGGGCCCCGAGACTCCAGCTCTAGGGGTATCACCTCTAGAAGGGAGAAATAGGAACGGCCCCTGTCAATCAATAGTGAAGCAGCATGATCAAAGCATGGCTTAGTCCCACCCTCTCCTCCTCAGAGGTGCCTGGCCTCAATATGTGTTAATCTTGGCCTCCCTGGTGGCGCAGGGGTTAAAGACAGCACTATCAAGTTATTGCCAGCCACTGCAGCATGAGTTCAATCCCCAGCCGGCCAGGATGCAACCAACATGGCGCAGCAGACCTCTCCTGCCTTGCCCGCAGCTCACCTCCGCAGTGTATTTCAGCAGATCTGTCTGTTCTGCTCTGCACTCTCTCCAGTGAATCCTCTCACCCTCTGTACTTCTGGCCTGTACCCCAGTTCTTGTATGCATAAATAAATCTTAAAAACTATATATGTGTTAGTCTCAAAAAATAGAATGGAAGAGAAGTTCACAGGAGAATACACTAGCCTTCCGCTTACATGAAACATTTCAGTAGGCAAAATTAATATACCAAAGAGGAACAAGGAATGAATAATACAAAATTCAGAGCAGCAGGTAGAGATGTGGAGTGGAAAACGAAATTAGCCCACGGAAGGGCTTATTTCACAACATTGTGTTAACCTGAGTGCAGGTATATGGGTGCTGCAGTCCGTAAAGTGTACAATAAGTTTTATATACTCTTTGCATATGTATGCTGTATTGTGCAATATCAACTTAAATAGTATTAAAAATATACCCATAAACATACACAAAACACACACATACCAGCCAACACAACAGCAAATCCCTTTCTAAATAAAAAACTGCAACCAACATTTTATTGCCTGCTCTGGATTGTTGCCCCCATCCATCCACCTGTCGCCCCCTGCTCCTCCCCACAGCCTAATGATGCATGAAGTACATTTATTCTATACTGCTGGCCTGCTCCCTCTAGGAGTCTTGGCAGCCCAGCGACTTGGGCATGCAGAACCCTAAGCAGAGCCCACACAGGCTTAATCAGTAACTCCCTTGTTTAATTAAGTGCCCTTGCACCCCAGGGGCCGGCTCCGTGGCTGGCCAGGCTGCCTCCAGTGCTCCGGGCAATTAAGAACCAAAGGTTTCCAATTGATTCGGGGTTAAGAGGCAAGGAGACTTTGGGGAATAAGAATCACCTACTTAGCTGAGGTGGCATTTGAGTTCTGTTCTCTGCTTCACTTGCTTAACTGCCTACTCTTGGGGGCACAGGGCAAGCCGGGGAAGGAACTTCCTTCAGGGACCATGAAATTGCAAGGGTTCCGCACATTCTTGGCCTTTGTCTTCTCAAAAAGAAATTCATTCTGAATTGCAAAATGACAAGTTTTCCACGCCACTACAACTGCCCATTTGCTCAGGGCCCTTTCAACCTTCCTGGGTATTCCAAAGTTCTCAGGTAAGGGACTGTGGGCTTGAGGAACGTTATCTGTGAGTCGGGACTAAACAAAACAGCTGAATGAGATCTGAACGCACTGCTACGGAAGGCATTCTGTCTGAATCAGTGGGGGAAAAAAAAAAAAAAAACCCCAGCAAGTTACAGATAAATATACAGCTGGATCTTTGTGGGATGGTTTAAAACCCCACACTGGACACACTCGGATGCAAAATTTCCTGGCAGAATCACATCAACCCTAATACAAACTCCTCTAGGAGGAAGAGGGGGCAAGATAAGTGCTTTTCACATTTGCCTGCTGCCGCTCTATTTTGCTTGACTTCTTACACTAATTGTGAATTACTTTTTAATTGAAAAGGAAGGAAAACACCACCTTGCCCACTTCCAGGATAAAACTCCCTTGAAATGGGGAACTCCCATTTAAGGGGTTCTGACAATTATAATGACAGGGGGAATTATAATGAGTAATTACCATGTATGCAATATACAGACCTTTCAAAAGCCTGACATTTTTTACATTGCCAAATTTTAAGATCTCTCCACTACTTATTCCCCTAAATACCAAGTGCCTAGCACTAGTTAATGACAACAACCGTTACGGACTCCTTTCTGGGACCCAATACCATTGTCTCATTTTATCCTTACCGGAACCTATCAAATGGGTATAATTAGTGTCCAGATGTGGAAACTGAGGTTCAAAGAGGTTAAGTGGTCCAAGACCAGTTCCAGGGGGATCCCACTTCAATTCCAAAGTCCACATTTTCTCTATTTTCCCAGCCACCATGACATTTTCTCTCCCAAATCCCCTACAGAGGCTTTCAGAATTCCTGTAGTGGACTTGGGGTCTGCTGGGACTCAGGGCCCCACCCCTGCTCCATTAGCTCAGTTGTTTTCTTAAGGCTTCCTTTCAGGAGCAGTGGGAGCCTACAGCTCCCAGCCTGGCTCTCAGCCTGTCTAGCTTCCACCACAGCCACCCTTACCAACTCTACCAGCTGGGGCCACTACAGCCTCTCTGTGCCTCTGTTTCCTGTCTGTGAAGTGGGATAATAATTACACCCACCTCACAGGGAGGCTGTCAGATTAAGTGAGTCACTGTGTATGCACAGTAGCCGGGGTACCGTGTGCTCTCAATAATGCTAGCACTCCTTGCTGTTATTATGGGGAGCAGAGGCCCAGGACAGAACAAACTGAAATGCCTCTGTTCCACTGTGTGCAGGAATATCTAAACATCAGCAAAGCTGGGTACCAATCCCCTCCTTAGCCGTGAGTGGGATCACATCACTCAAGGACACAGGGCCATGGGCCCTGTGCAAACACGTGTGCTCCCAGCAGTGGTGGCTTGGCCTCTTCCAAGTCTGTGTAGCCAGGGACGGAGCCAGGAGGGCCATGGCACCATCACCACGTAACAGCGAAGGCCTCTGCTCACTTCTCCCATGACCCACATCTTCTCCTTTGCTCAACTCCATCTGTTTCGCCTCTCCCCGGGGCATGTTTCTCCTGCCCTGCAGCCTGCTGCCTGCCCGCTTCTCCTCACTTCAACAGTCCTGCCTATAAACACATTGAGGGCAGGGGTAGAGTTTGTATTCCTGCAAGGTACCTAGTTGAGGAGTAGGAATGGATACTCAAGCCATTCAGTCTACTTGCAGCCTCAGGAAGCTCTCCTGGTATCCAGGGGGCCACTACAGCAGAGAGCAGGCAGCATGCACATGAAACCTGTTTGCTATCTTTGAACTCAGGTGACCCCCAAACCTCCCAGGGTGTATTTCTGGTGCAGGTTTCCTGTTCCTCCCTGAAGCTCAAGCCCCAGCTCATCAAGGTCAGGCAGTAGCTGTGCTCACCTCATTGCTCACCACCACGTGGATGCCCGTGGGTCCCTGCCGGTACACTCGGTGAATGTGCTGGGGGGAGATGCTGTACAGGTTGGCAATCTTCTCAATCAACTCCAAGGTCGTGAGCTCTTCCAGGAAGATGGCATGGTACACTGGAGGGAGGAACAGTTCCTTCTAAACACAAGCCTCAGCTTTTCAAGGAGCTTATCCAGCCGCACCCTGAGAAGCCAATAACTTGTTTATAAAGGTGCTTGTATTCAATTCATACAACATCTGGCTGAATGAGCAGTGCCCAGAAGCCACACTGCTAAGCATGTGGGTCCAGGCCTCTATGCAAACCTTTGAAAGGTGAAAAGCAATCAGGCTAATGTACGGTAGGGAAAAAGTATCAGGCTTTTCTGCCCTCCCGCCATTAGGATAGATGAGGGAACCCTGTGGTCCCAAATGCATGCCTGATGGCAGGCACCTGGAGTGGGTACACCGGGCCTGAGAGATGGGGCTTTTAAAGGCGGCGTTACGGGGATGCCAGCAGAAGCCGAAAGAGAAGCTGAGAAAAAAGCAGCAGAAGCCGAGAGAGAAGCAGAGAAGGCTGGAGAGCCCAGATAGAGTGAAGACTTGCTGGGGGCTGGGAGGCCTGGCAGCCTCCCGGCCCCCCAGCACCCCTGCCTGCTGTGTACCGGGTAAATCCCACTAAAAACCTGCAAAAAGCCACTGAGGACTCTGACTCCTCCTTCACCCGGTCTGCTGGATCAGAAAATCCACACTGTGGTCTTCCTGACCCTACAGCTAACTTTCTCTTTTCTGCCAGTCTCTCCTGGGACACTTAGTAAAATGCAGAATTCCTAGAGCCACACTGGACTCAGTGACACCCATGTAAGGATGCAGGCTGGAGAGGCAACAACTGACAGACAGCTGCATATCTAACAAGTTCCAGGGATTCTGCTGAGTGGCAGATGCACCCACTGTAGGAGGCAGGAGGGAATCCTGTGTCCCCCGTCCTTTCTCCCCACGGCTAAAAGATGAGTTAGTGGATGGTTTCGGGTGGCAAAGACTGAACTGTAAAGACAATAGCTGTGTGACCACGGACGAGAGTAGAGTTCCTGCCCTTCTCCATGGCACCAATACTAGTCAGCTGGAACACGGTGACCCCGAACAGAGGGGGAGGGCACAAGCAGTGGCATCAGCCCATGAGAAGATAACGGTGGCCTTATCCAAATCCTACCACACAAAATCCGTGGGCAAACCGGGTTGGATTACTCACTGTTAGGTGTCCTCAAAAGTAAAACACAACCGTATTAAATTGGAGGTCCCCAGACTTCTAATTATTTAACTAAGGAACTCTAGTCTGGGGCGGGAGGGGCGGGGGAGTGGAAAGCTTACCAAAAGCCCAAGATTTTAAAAACGAGGGATCATGCATACGTACATCCAAATGTCTGGACCCTGGCTCTGACACAATGCTGTCATCTTGGGCTAGTCAACTGCTCCGAGCCTCAGCTTCCCCTAGGGTGAAAGAACCTTCACCACAGTCCCTACTATGAGAAGCAAATACATGAACACATGGAAAGTCCTTAGGACGGGGACTTACTGAGTATCTCACTGATCTGGAGGGACCGGCAGAGGCAGGTAGGTGCTTCCTGCTCTCTCTGCAGAGAATACTACAGCACAACCATGCAGATGTCAGACTCACAACACTCAAGATGCTCAGAAACAAGGAGCTCTGTATGAACCCTCTCCTTGGAACCTGGCACCTCTGTTGCTATCTTTATTTTACACACATAGAAACTGATGTGTAGGTGCTGGTATCCTGCCCAAGGTTCAAGAGTCAATAGGTGTGTGGTCAACACTGTTTATCCAAGGATGGCTGAGCTCAAAGATTGTGTTCCAGGCAAAAAAATAAAACGAGACCACCAACTTAACACTATACCTGAAAATCAAGTCAAAATGGATAAAAGACATAGAAGTAAGATACGTAGAAGAAAACATAGGGGAAATACTCCATGACATAAGGTTCAGAAATACCTACGTGGATTCATCCCCAGCAGCAAGGAAAACAAAGGAGAATATAAACAACTGGGACTATAGCAAACTGAGATGCTTCTGTACAGTGAAAGTGACAATAATCAAAACAAAGAGACACCCTACAGAATGAGAGAGAATATTTGCACATCATATATCTGACAAGGAACTGATTTCATGGATTTATAAAGAACACATACAACTCATAAATAGGCAAAGAGCTAAACAGGTACTTCTCCAAAGAAGATTGTACAGATGGCCAGAAGACATAAAATAATGTTCACCATCACTTATCATCAGGGAAATGCAGGTCAAAACCTCAGTGAGATACCACCTCAAACTTGGGGACTGGCCCACATTAAAACCAATGTGACAAAGGTGTGGAGAAAAAGGAGCCCTCTTACGCTGCAGGTGGGAATGTAGACTGGCCCAGCACCTGTGGAAAGCTGTGTGGAGGTTCCTCAGAACACCAAAAATGGATCTACCATAGACTCAGTGATTCCAGTTCTAGGGAACTACCCAAAGGACACAAAAACACTAATTGAAAGGAAACCTGCACTCCTATGTTTATGCAGCACTATTTATAAAAGCCAATATATGGAAACAACATAAATGCCCCCAAACAGATGAATGGATCAAGAAGATGTGATATATATACACAACGGAATACTACTCAGTGATCAGAAAAAATAAATAAATAAGCTCATACCATTTGCAGCAACATGGATGGAGCTGGAAGGGACCATGCTAAGCGAAATAAGCCAGAAGGAGAAAGATAAATACTAGATGGTGTCACTTATATGTGAAAAATAGAGAAACCAAACAAAGGGTCAAAGAAAGACAAACTTTAAAATGAATCCTTGAAAACTGGCCACAGATCTGAGGCATTCCCAAGAGGGGAGGAGGGGAGAGGAGGCGGTGGGAGGCAGAGCAGAATGGACTATGGCAGATGACTAAAGGTGTTTTGGTGGTGGGAGAGCTGCGTTGGGAAAAATCTAATATTGTCAAAATATTAACAAAGATGTAAAACAACGGTGCTTCATTAATAAAAAAATAATAAATTTTAAAAAAATAAAATAAACGATGACATGGTCTCAAAAAAAAAAATTATGCCTCCTCTCACCAATGATATCAAAACTGCCACCCCCAAAAAGTCACACACTCCCAAGGAAGATCTTTCAGCTCTGCTCCTTCACTCTCCTGCAGCAACCAAAGAATGGGAAAGATTCAGGAAAAGTGCTCCCGGGAACACATCCATGGAAGGTCCACCTGCCGGTTCTGCCACCAGTAGCTGAGAGGCCTTGGAGGGACACTTCCCCTCCCCTCATTGGGCCTTTATTTCCCTGGATGCAAAATTAGTAAACTGGACCAGATATCCTGGTCCGCTGTGAATACTTCTGTCCCAGGATGATAGTTATCAAAAACTTGTTCAACACAGAACCAGACAGAACAGGCGAAGCAGTCTCAGTGGGAGGCCTGGGGTTGCTTCTGTTTCTTGGGTCACTCTCCAGCCTTATAACTGCTTTGGGAGGAGGGCAGCCCCATCTTACCACATAGACTGGTGTCCCCACCACCATCCTGCTTCTGCTGCAGGGGAGCTCGATTCTGTTCCAGCTCCTGACAGACATAGATGGTCATCTTTGGCCTCACATTCCTGGCAAGGGGAGAGGAAATAAACTGAAGACACATGTGGAGACCAAGTTCTCTGTTGCTGCAGAATATTCCAGAGCACAGGGTAGAAACAGCACTGGGAAGGATTCAGGGAGAAGGAAGGATGTCAGAATGCTGAATCTTTCACTTGGGGGGGGGGGCATAGAATGTGGTTCAGACACAGCACTGCTCCATTGTCTGCACTGAAACCACCGCACAGCTGAATAGTGGCATCCATGGCTTCCCCTCAGCACAGGTAGCTTAGGACCCAGGACCATGCAGGTGTCTGAACCCAGGGACATGGCAAAAGGGATGAGATCCAGAGGCTAAGGTTGCTGTCAAACCAAGAAGTCAGAGGGGGGCCTCCAGGCCTCTGTACAGTTGGCTGCCTCTCACAACAAAGTGTGTCATTCCCCTGCTACAGCCCTGTAGTCTCTTACCAGTCATTCGCCTTGGGGGCCAAGGGCCCAGGGTATGAGCTTCCTGCCACAGCCTGCCTCCAGTTGGAAAGTGTCACTCACCTGCCTTTGATGGCATTGAAGAGCCGAATTCCATCTGCAGGCCCACAGATCTGGACCAAATCATCTCGAGACATCTTCAGCAAGTCAGCACCTAGGGAGTAAATGGGGCAGCCATTATGTGGGAGCCGGAAAAAGTTCCTTCCTTCAGCACCTGCAGACCTGCAGTGAAAGATGGGGACAGGAAAGAACCAGCCTCACCCTCAATGGGCTAAATATCAGAAGACCACAGTCAGAAGCTAAATGACTAGTATTCACAAAATTCAGTACCTGACAGACATTCACAGAAGCCAGTAGGTGCCCACTGCCCATGCCTGCCTGCCCCTCCCTTTGTACCATATTGGCATATCAGGTATGTGCAAATATCTTACTGGCACATGGTGCTGGATACACGTGCACGTGTCGAAACAGCAAAGCATCCAGTTCTCAGGATGCACCCCGTGATCAAGAGGCTAAACACTCAGATCTCACAGGCCCCTCATGCCAGCCACTCCAGTGCCCTGACTTCTCACAATTCAGATGAGTTTTGCTGCTGTTTTAAAATGTATATAAATGGAATTGAACAACCAACTGTACTCTTCCCTGGCTGCCTTCCTCCAAGGTCTGCTTAAGGACTCATTCCTAATCATTTGTGGCCACTATTCACTGCACGGATCTACCGTAATCCATGTATCCTCTCTGCTGATGGGCATCTGGATGTTTCCAGTTTGGGGATCTTAAGAATAAGGCTCCATGAATATTCTTATACATGGGTGTGGCCCCTTCCTCAAAGTCCAAGGAGTCCCCACATGGGGACTCTCTAGAGTACAAGCTTGATAGAAACTTTCTCCTGAGAAAATACTAACAGCCATGTGACCGGGAGCCACAATGTCACTCTCCCTCCAGTTAATGTAAGTTTCAGCACAATGGCCCCTCTCCATAGGTGGAGTCAAAGTCCTTCCACTGTCCTACTGGAGCCCTCCGGGACTTTGTGACTGTACCTTCTCCTCTGGTTGATCCCACCCTAGTTACCTGGGTTCTCTGCTCATTGGCCAGGCCAGGATGGTGCCCATCTTGTGCCTTTGCACTTTCTCTTTGCTTGGGAAGCAGTCTCCTAGTACCCCCTGGGATTGCTCCCTCACCTCTACTCCAGGACACTTCTCAATCAGGCCAACACTGACCAAACTACTCAAGAGCACAGCCAGCCCTTACCCTCTGCCCAGGCCAGGCCAGACCCTCCCTTGAGCCTCCCGGCACTGAAATATGTGATTACATGTCTGCACGGAGTTGGAGCTCCAGGTCTCTGAGGACAGGGTCCCTGTATGACCTTCTCGTACCTTCCACCCTGAACACAAAGATTGTTCTCAGAAAGCTGAGCTGCAAGAAGGCCAGGCGCTACATGTCCCATGGGTACAGGCATCCCTGGGAGCAGCTCCCCTAGCTTTGGCAACAAGTGTCACTGCACCCCACAGCCCCTGGCTCAGGACTTCTGTGCAAGGGGTCCATCAGTAAAGATTCAAAAACCTTTTGAAGGAAGAACCAGTTTTCCTTCTCACCTGTAGCTTCACCTCCATCTCTCAGGTCATAGCCCTGGAGATGGTGTAACAAGCAGCATATTTTATAGGAAAGGTGCCAGGAGGCTTGCTGAGCTACAACGGCCAACTTGGCCTGCTCAGACAGATCAGAGTGCACCCCCACAACTGGCATACATCTGGATAAAGACACCCAGAGGGTCCTCCCCAAAGCCACACTCAACAGACAACTTCTAGGGACAAGACTTCAGATCCTAGTGGCTGACCTCAGCTTAGCATACATGAGTGACCCACACTGTTCAGGGTTCTGAGGACAAGATCACGGTCCCACAGGCACTGATGCCAAATCCTAGACAAAAGTGGCTTTGCCGAGTGTTGCCAAGACCCCACAGGGTTTTTAACACCATATAAAGAAACTCACCCGAGAAGCTGGAGAAGAGCCGGCAGAACTGCGAGAACCTGTTGCGGTGGAGCCATTGCTGGGCATCCTGGATGGAGGCCGACGGGAGCAGGTGCTGCAGGCGGAGAGAAGGGGCCTTAGGTGACCACGTGAGGTCCGCAAAGGGACAGGCAGCCAAAGAGCCCGGCCGCAAACACTTACGTCACTGCCCAGGGGCAGGGCCTCCACGGGGTGCGTTGGAGAGCTGTTGCTGCAAAGGAAGACAAGGGGCAATGAGGAGGGAGGATGCTTCCTGGGGCCTGGTGACTGGGATGTGGTGGTGAGATCCTCACTGCTTTTACCTCCCCTCAGGTACGGGACTGGTTTTAAATGAAATGGGTCCTTGAGAAGTTCCAGAATCAGAGAAATGTAGGCAGGAACCACTGTTCTCTCCCTCAAAATCCCTAAGTAACCCTTTGGTGTGAACAGGAAGTTCTGATTAGATACATTGGCGAAGACCAAGCCCTTCCACCCAAGGTCTGGCTTTGTGTGGATCAGAACTACCTCCCATTCAGAGTTTCCTCTCCGAGTCTCAGCCTGAGGAAAGGCAGCTGAGCAAGGAGACCCAGCCTCAGAGTGATCCAGGGCCTACACACATGGCCAACCACACACTCTCCTCTGTGGCAATGGAAGAAGGCAGGGGAACCCAGGGAGTTATTCTGCAATGACTAAGTGCCCACAGGTTGCCATCATCCGTGACAAAAATATTCTCCTGGTTTTCAGAGACACCCTACAGGGTAGGGGAGGAGGGAGGAGGATCAAAACAAGGGGGGTGGGAATTGTACGGGGACTATAACCTAGATGAAAATACATTGTGCAAAAATGAAAAATGATGTAAAAAATACATAAAAGAAAAAAAATATTCTCCTGGTTTTCCTGTTTTTTCCACAGAGGGAGGCCACTGAGCCTCCTTGGGGGCTCACTCAGCAGGAGGCACAAATCCAGACAGCTGGGCTTTTTAATTGAGATACATTTCAACCGACCTCCCAGATGGAAGGTGGTGAGACTGCAACATAAGTATGTTTAATACCATTGAATGACGCATTTAAAAATCGTTAAAATGGTAAGTTTTACATTATGCATATTTCACTACCAAAAATAAGTAAATAAATAAAAGACCCTGGCAGGGATGATGCTTACTGCAGTCACCAGTTAACAACAAGGGCACTTCAAGTGTCCCTAAGTATGACCGTTTCACACGCCCTCCTCTGATCGTGCATGCAATGCTTACTCCTTTGGAGGGGGGAAACAGAGGCTAAGGATCCCTCAGAAAGGTATAGATTTAAAACCACAGCTGCCCGAATCTAATCAAGACTCCTCTTCTATGCCGCCTCTCTCGGGAAGGCTCTCCTCACCCTGTAAAACCAAGTACATGAAGTCTGGACTTCACCCATTTGTCACCCATTTGTCAAGTTCTCTGCCAGGCAGTGGCTTCAAGATTCAACATACGCCTGTTAAATCTACCTGGCCTTCTCCCTCCCTCCTGACTATCCCCATAAATGGAACATGCAGTGCACTTCCATCTCCCTGGCATCGGTGAGGCCTCTGCATCTGCAGAGCAGTAAAGCCTTCTGGGGCAGGGAGGACCCCTAGCCGATTCCCACTACCCATGACCGTGCACAAGGGCTACAGAGAGATACAAGAGGGCCCCTCAGAGCTGTTGCACCCATCCACAAAGCCTCTTCCTAAGGCCCCACCTGACTCGGAGGTCATCTCAGGAGGCTGACCTATAGGCCAACCTTACTCTTACTGGGGAGAGGGTGTTCTGGGCCACTCCCCACCAGACAGTGTTCACAGAAGTGCATCTACTTACCCAAAAGCAATGCAAATACCAAAAATGGTTATGAGCATTAGCCAATCTGAAACCTGCATCAATGTCAAGTTACAAAAGGAGGAACATCACATAGAAGAAGATCTAGAAAGGAACACCCAGAGGCTCCAAAGGGAGAAAGGTTGCACATACCCTTCGCCAACGCCAAAGCTATTTGGAGAACCGTTGTAGCTTGGGGACGGAACGCTGTTCATTTGGTAGGCCACTTCGGGCCATGGGGAGCACTGCAGGGAGAGAGCACAGGGCAACATGACTGAGGACAGGGGTACTCAGGAGGATCTGGGTCCTCTGACCCTCCCAAGTAAGTACCCATCAAAGCAGATGCATGATACCACTGACCCGTAGCACCCAACTCACAGGTACACCGTGCCCCCATGAAAGGGAAGGGCACCTTACTAGGAAGCACATGAAAGGACTCAGCTATGGCAGAGAAGAGACCTAGCATTCAGTAGTCATCTCTGGAGCCAGCCAAGTGTGGCATGTATCTTGCTGAGCTTCCTAACAGTCAAAGCAAAGAGGGAAACACTGTTCATCTAATTCTTGGGCCCATAAGAAAAGACTCGAAAACCACAGAAGCCAGTTGCCTAGAGGCAGGCTTTCCTAATGCAGCCGAAGGTGTGCATATGCATGAAACAGGGAGCACTGCACTGCAGACAACTTCCAAACCAAAAGGCATCAGTAAAGCCCAGTATTAAAGCCTGTGCCATTTGAAGAGCATCTGCCCACAGGAGATTCAGGAGAAGCACTTTCACAACCACCAAGAGCAGCCCCTCTTCAACACAGCCTGTACACCACTGCACAAACTTCTGTGCTTACTTAACATGCATCTTTATTACATTTCAGGCACCCTGCTAGGAGCTAAGGGTGACATAGAAGATGTGACCCTTGAGCTCAAGGAACCTCTTGTACAGAAGCCAAATATGAACATGTGTGTGAGTCTCCCAAAGAAAGCAGACGCACGTGGGTTTTGCCTGCTGGGGGAAGCCAGTGGAGTGAGTACTCATTTCTCGCCCCCTGCGATGATACCTCTTCAGAGAGGGCCAATCTGAAGCATTCCTAAGGAGTTACTATCACCCACTGCACCACAGGGTGGGTCAATATTTAACTCTGCTATGAGTGTGGGCTGGAATTTGTTGGTGCTAAATCCTATGGCCCGAGGAGGAAAGCTGATGAGCTGATACAAGGTCAGGGGCCAGGTGGGGACTTCAACCAACCATACCACATTTTGACCAGGGCTTGGACAGACATGGACAGGAAGCACACCTGAGCCTCTCCTTTCCAGGGAAAGTCAGAGAGTCAGAAGGAGAGAGGCTGAGGCTCAGGCCACTAGGAGGGAGTCACCAGAAGGATGACAGGGGGGTTCAGGAAGGGTACCCTGGGCAGCAAGGTCAGCACAGGCAGGGAAGCAGGAAAAGAACTTTCTGGTCTGAGCTCTAGTCCATGCAATCAGCACAAGCAGCGCTGCTTTGCTGTGAGGGTGGGGAGGCTTCTTTAAGTCAAATTATCCAATGGTCTGATTGCAGAACAAGGCAGGAGGGGGTAGGGGAATAGTTGTTCAAAAAAACAAAGCACCGTAAAGGAAGCGGCACCAGCAGTGACCCATGACAGGAGGAAAGGAGACTGTGACACTGAGCATCTCCAAAGTGCCCTGGACAGAGGATGGTTGGACAGACTGGCATCAGCCAAAAGGAAATGCATTCCAACATCTACCCAAACAACAAAATAGCAAGTGCTTATTAGGCCCTCCAACCCAGCGGCCCCACATGGAGAGCAGCCCTGGCAGATGCTCCCGTCCTGCACTCTGTCAGAAAGGGCGAGTCTGCCAAACAAACAAATGCCCACCAAGCAGCTATCCATGCACCAAGGCTATACAGCCAGGTCAAGAATGAGAAACTCTTTGTGACCTGAGAGGGAACAGGCATGCTATGAAATAAAGACAGCAAGGCCAGTGTCCACTCTTGGTGTAAAAAAGTGGGTGTGGGCAAAAGTATAGGAATGGCTTCATTTGCAGAGAAATTCAAGCCAGATATACAAAGAACCAGAGACGCCAGCTGTCCTGGGAAGAGAACCACAAGGCTGGGACAGTGTTAGGAGGGAGTTCTGATGTACATGCGTTTATACCTTTTGAATTCTGACCATGTAAATATATTTCCTGTTCAAAAAAAAAAAATTAAAACAACCTAATTTTGCCAAGTGCAAATGGCACAGAGAACTAGGTCATTTCTGAAATACCTCCTCAACGCTAGATCTTAGAGGAACACACGAGCCACACATGGGAACATACTCCAATGTAATGGGCGCTCTCCAAAGCAGCAATCGCCAAGATGAGCAATTTTCCAAGAATCTAAACCAAGAGCGCCATCGCCTGCCACAGGCATGGGCAGCTCATCCCGGCTGTGGCTGGCTTACCTCTGTGAGGATGGTGGTTTCATAGGACGGCTGGTATTTCTCCTTCTCTTGGATGGTTCTTTTCTCCATCTTCTCCCGGTCGGTCTTCTGTTTCCTGTCAGCTCCCTTTGGCTGCAAGTGAGCACAGGGATGCAATTAGTCCAGAGTGGGCAGATGCTGCTGTCAGAGAAGACTCAGGGCCAGCAGCAATCCAACGCCCTACGCACTCCCCGGCTCACTGAGGCTCAGAAGCCCAGGCAGAATCTCAGACAGGACAGCATCTCTCTCACCTCCCAGTCATCAGGCAGGTGCTTCTCTTGCCAACAGCTCTGCCCTGCCCCAAGGGAACTCATGGCCACTGTGGGTCCTGCCACTCAGCTGCTCATGGAAAAGATCTCTGCCTGAGGGGAGAACCCTTGGAAGCCACAAGTCCCAATGCATCCCCTTCAGTTACCTGTGGAGAGTGATGGAGGTGGAAGAACCAGAGGATGCTGGGTGTCATCACAGACACCATGAGGCCTCCTGCCACACTCCCAGCTGGCACTCCATTCACAGGACACACCTGCATCCTGACACGGCCGACCTGACCTAGCACCCAGCAGACCCGAGAAGCTTAAAGGAGCCTCAAAGGCATTATTATGCTTCTCATTGGCAGGTCAGAAAACTGAGCAAGTGATTCATCAAATCAGGGGGAACCAGGTCCAGGGATGCCAGCAAGAGTGCCCAGGTGGGCACACCACCAGCTGGGCCCAGCAGCCCCCCTCACTCACAGGACCTTTGTGACCTTCACCTGCTATTGATTTCATGGCCTGTCAATAAGTTCAGAACAAAACTCCCAGCAGCCCCGGAACTGTACATTTTACTCTGTACAAAGCAGAACACACATGGAGGGTACTTCATTCTCGAGTTCAGTGGCACCTCTGGGAATTTTCACCTCCATACACACCTTCCTCAGGCTATGGCTTTTCCTCCCAGCTCAAGGGATTTTCGAAAACAGCCTCAAGGAGATGCCCTCGCTGGGAGAAGGTAGGTTTGCAGGGGGTCATGTGGGGACACAAATGGCAGATCCAGTGCTCACTGGGACAGCCAGCCTTACCCCTGGCACCTGGTCTCCCTGCTCCACCTCCATGCCCCATGCCTGAGAAGGGCCCTCCTTTCTGCCCAGACCCATGGGGCAAGGTGATATTACCTCCAGGCCACTGTGGCGGAGCCTGCATGAGTGAGGCACTGGGGCCTGTGAGGCAAGGAGGGGGCTGTCAGAAAGGGACCCCGTCTTTCCTATCAGAAGACTGGATACAGGCCCAGGATGTGGCCCAATAAGCCATAGGCTTAGCAGTAACCGCAGTGACTGGGGGAGGGAGGCATGACAGGCACTTTGCCTGGACTTGGCATGATGCTTGTGCCCATGTTTTAATTGCTTCTGGGAATAGGACCAGGGGCAAGGTGACCACACCCCCCCCCAGGCATTCTGAGGAGCCAGTCCTGGGAGGTAGGACTCCCACACTCCCTGCAGGAGACACCAAGGCCTTCCTGTGCCACTCAGGCAGATTCTAGTCCAGTTGAAAAGAAGCATCTGGGATATGGCTGGTATCTGTGAACAGGGTCCTCACTCCTGAATTTCTGCCTCAAGGTGTAGAATGGGGAGCCAGTGGGAACTTCAGGAAGGACTGGACATTCCATGGGTACAGAGACCCCACCCTGTTCCTCATTCCTAACGTAGCAAGACATCTGATCCCCACCCAGGGCGCTCACTCCAAGCAGTAGAATTACACTGGACCCACTGGGCAAGAAGTGAGCTGCTATGTGAGAGCAGAACACAGCCAGTGGGATGGGGATGCAGTCTGCACACGATAGGGAAGGAGGTATGACTGGAGGGCCAGCAAAGGTCAGCAGCACCACAGTGGTGACAATGTCCATGGGAATCAAAATCAGAGCCTGGAGCAGGCAGCAAGGCCAGAGGCTACAGCATACGCCATGTGTCCTGATCCCCAGGAGGTCGCCTCACATGGCAAGAGGGGCAGGGGCAAGGCTGCAGCTGGAAGGAGCAGTGCTAATAGGTTGAGACTGAAATAGGAAGGTTATCCTGGGTCATCCTGGTGGACCCGATGTGATCACAGGGCCCTTTTAAAGTGGAAGAGAGAGTCGAGGAGTTCAGAGTGATGGTAAGGACTCTGCACCCTCAAGGGTGGAGGGGCCATGTCCAAGGAATGCAGCGACCTCTAGGAGCTGGAAAGGGTAAGTGAGTCTCCCCCCGAGCCTCCAGGAATGCAGCCTGCAGACACATTGACTTTAGCCACTGAAACCCATGTCAGACTTCTGACCTCCAGTCATGAAAGATAATAAAAGTGTGCAGTTTCAAACCATTAAACTCCCAATTTGTTCCAGCATAAATAGGAAGCAAATATACTAGAGAAGCATGGCTTCCTCTGGAGGTCATTCAAAGCATTGGCATCTTAAGGCAGGTTTCTGCAGGGTGCTCTGCTGCAGCCGGAGAGACAAGCACCAGCTCCTACCACCACTGGCCATCCTCACCCGGAGGCATCACTAACTGACAGGGCTTCCCAATCCACAGCCCTGCAGGGGTCTCAGAACCCTCTGCAGGGGTCTCAGACAGTGGGCCAGGCACCTGCTGGACTCCCCCAGGATGTGGGGCAGGTCTGCCTAAGAGGGACGGGACCATGGTCCTGCTAGGCACAGCACCCTCGCCCCTGAGACATGCAGGCTTTGCTGCAACCCCTCTCCTGCTTCCTGAGGCCACAAAGAACCTGAGCAGCATCGCTGCCTCCATCTTTAGGAAGCAATTAACCCATAAAGGTGCACGGAAAACAGTGACAAATGACTTCAGAAGGTGAGGCAAGGAAGGGGAAGAGAGGAGATAGATCCAAAATGTTTCTTTGTCCAACAGGAAGCCACTGCAGAGCTAAAATGGCCTTAGGCCCTAACTAAGATCCAAGATCAGGAACCTGCAGAGGGTCTCTGGGAAACCACAGAATCTATGTGCAACCACAATTGCTTCAGAAAAAAAAATTTTTTCTAAAAATATGTGAGTCCAATCAATCTTAGCCTGACGTGTGGGGAAGGAAGCCGAGAAGAAGGCCTGGAGACAGGAAGCCTATGGTGGCAGAGCCCTCATCCCAGCCGTGCAGCTCGCAGCCCATCAAGAGCCCAGATGCAGGCCCTTCGCTGGGTCTCCAAGCAAGTTGACATCTGGTGTCACTGTCCCATGCAGGTGGCACAGGAGGCGAGACCACCAGAACACGTGATGCAGCAGGAGTATGCGAGGCCTGCCTACCTTGAACACCTTGATCTGGCAGCTGGCAGAGTGCAAGTGCTCCGTGTACTCCCCATTCTCGTTCTGCTTAAATGTGTCGATCTGTACTCGGAAAGGCACACCCTTCTCACCCCCGTGCTTCCGAGGGGTGAATTCTGTGCTGATACAGTGCACCTGGAAGGGGAGAGAGGGGGCCGGTCACAAGAAGGAGGTGAGGGCAGGCTCTGGATGCTCCCAGGCACCTCTCCAAATGGAGATTTCCCTCTTGCCTGGTTAGGCCTCAACTCCCTGCTCTCCCATGACACTGGCCAATCAGCAGGTCAGTGGCCACCCTGGCCCCTGACCACAAAGGCTACACCTCCCTACCTTTGTCCTTTGACCTCTGAAAGTTTTGCCCTGTGCCTGCTGACCTGAGCAGCCCCACCCTTGTGCCTCACCCAGAGGCCTCTGCTTTGACAAGTCCTACTACAGTCTGCAGAGCAAGGACCACGCTTAGTCCCTGATAGTCTGGTGTCCAGGCTACCTGAGCCAGGCGAGAAGCACAACAAAAGACTGGAACCACTTAAGTGTTTCTGCCAAGTACCTACTGTATGGAATGTACTAAACATATATTTATTATTATTATACTGAAATAATGTATATATTATTATTATAGTAATACAAAAATATTGTAATACTTTTTAAACTTAAGAATGTATTGTAATTACAATGGGAAAAAAATCACTAACTTTTACTGAATAAGTACTAGGGACTGGACCCTGCAGTAATAGCTTTATGCTCATTATCTGATTTACAAGGAAGGCATAAGGACACAAGGACTCAAAAAGGGGGCACATGCATAAGTCAGTGAGCAGGGCAGAGCCCAGGAGCAGAGCAACCAGCCAGGCCCTGGAGAACCTAGGTCATCTGTCGTGCTTGACAAGAGCCTGGGTTCACCCCAGGTGCTTGATAATTAAATAACTAGTTTAATAATAGAAACTGTCATGGAAAAAATAATTTACTTCAAATGACTTATGCAAGGAAGCAATTATTTTTAAGACACTAACATATTCATAAGCAAAATTGACCCAGGACTCTAATAAAACATTCCGTGCACGCTGCCCACCATGATGATGGACTAGCTCTGGGCTTGAGCAACGCTCGTCTACCCCCTCCCTTCGGCCCCCTTCCCCGCAACAGAGAACAGCAATCCCTCAGGGTTAGTTTTGAGATACTACAAGTGGGCCCCTGAATTGTAGCTGCCCCAGGGAGGTCAACCTCCTCCCCACCCCTGCCCCTTACTCACTTACCTGAATGAAGGCAGAGGCTCTCTTTGAAGGGTCCCACAAAAATTCAACTGTGTTCAGTTGGGTTGGGCTGGCCCTGGGATCCAAGACACCAACAGACAGTGGAATATCTGTGTACATACACACACACAAAAGTACAATTGTCAGCCACTCCCAGATATTTACGGAAGCACTCTCATTACAGGTCCAAATTCCTTAAGCACAATTTGAAATGCCAAAAGTTCTGAAACTTAGGTTTGCATAACTCATTTGGCAGAAAGCCCAACTTGAATTGCCATGAAGCTATTTAGAGACTTTATCCCATTTTATGTGAACAGTCATTTATTTTCCTGCAGAAATATTATTGCGCTTGATTGCCTTTTGGAGGTGTTACCCAATCTATGGGTCGGCGCACCCTGTTGTCATTCTACCTTCTTAATTCCAAAATCCATCTGGTCCCAAGGGTTGTGGTTAAAGGACTATGGACTGGTAGCTGAGTCCCCCAAATTCCTCTTCCATTGCCCATCTCCGTGATACCCATTCTCCCCTTCCTCACTTATCAAAATCTTCTAGGCAGGATCTCTGCAACTCTGAATTCCAATGAAAGGGAACTCCCTGAGGGCAGGCTGTGTGGTATATTGAAATCTGCCAGCTCCCAAGGGGTTTTACACAAGACAGGCATGAGCTGAGATGCCCTGGATAGGCGTGGGTCCCTGTGGCAACCAGGAAGAACCCCAATGTAGTAAAAGCGTGCTGGGCCTCTCCTGGCCGGGGACTCACCAATGTCCAGGATCCGGTCCCCAGGCCGGCTCCACCGCCAGCCCTCCAGCTGCTGATGCTCAGTGTACTGCAGCCGGCGGTCATGGAAAACCACGCGGATGATGCTCTGGGAAGGGGAGGCCAGCGGGGGAGAAAGCTGAATGTAGGGGCTCAGACGGCCCAAGAGGAGTTGGTCCTCCACTCAGCACAAGCCTCCCCACCCGCAAGGTCCCTTCTCCCTTCTCCTGTAGTTTTCCTTTCCAGTTCTAGGGCTCCATGAGCTCCTCCCACCTCCGCACCCCACCAACACAACAGCACCGAGTGGTGACAACCGCCATTCCCCACCACCCCCTCTACTGTAAGTGGCTAACTTATGGGCCCTTCTGTCATGCAAACAAACTGAAGCTCAGCGAAGTCCAGTAAGCAGCAAAGCCATGCCTGAGCCCAGCCAGTCCAATCCACAGCCCGTCCACCGCTCTGGCTGTCAGCCCTGCAGGCCTGGCCCAGCCCACTGGGCAACAGGAGTGCAGCTCTTCCTCAGAAGCCGTCCTGGAACCATCCAGCCAGTCTTGACCCCTGAGGGCAAGCCCAGGCGCAGACCCTAACCAGCACCCCCAGGTTAAGAGTACAGCCCCGCAGCCTTACCTTGACATATTTTGTGTTTAGATCTTGAAAGTCTCCCAACTTCCGATTCTCCAGCAGTCGGATTTCATAAGACTGACCTGGAGAGGGGTCAAGAGTGCATTTTCTATTTCTGAGTATTTTCAAATTTGGGGCTCAGCATCCTCCATGCCTACCCAGGCATCATTAAAGCGCATAGTCCATGGCCAGCTCAGATTGCTCTCTGGACCGGACACCCCAGTTTGTCTATATGGCCTGCTTAGGCCTAGAGCATGCCAGAGCACACACCACATGATACCTCAAGAGACAGTACCTCTGTGACTTGCAAGCAAATAGAATTTAACAAAACATAGTTAGTACTAAATCTATGCAATAATTATTTCATGTTTCTTAATTTAAAAAACACCCATCACTCACTTAGTTGGAAAACACATCTATTTAAGCCCACATTACAGTAAATAACTGCCCATACCCTTCCTGAGAACAGGCCCAAAGGAACAAACACAAGCCTGTTAAACATTGTCTCTAATTGCAGAATGAAAAGCATTTTCCCAAGTTAAAGGAATTTCATGTATTTGAAAGGTGTGGAGATTCTATTTGATGACATGTAAACAGTACAAACTAGTTAAAGACTATAAATGGAAAAAAAAGAAGTACATCCCTAATAACAATAAAAAACCTTAAAGTATCTATAAATAACGCGAGGAAAAGTGTACACATTTTATTGGGACATAAAATACAGCATGTTCCTAGATGGGGAGACCATATACCAAATCAGGTCCAATTAATTCTTCCCAAATTAAGTAAGTTTAACATAACTCTGAAACACCATAGCACATATCACAACTCAATAAAGGATATTTCACAAATAAGATGGAATGAATTGTTTTAATAATTGGTACTGGTAAATCTGATTAGTTGTTTAAAAAATTTTTAATAATAGATGCACAAAAACTTATAAAAACAGTACAGAGAGGTGCCTAGTCCCCTACCTCCAGGGGCAACATCTGGGGTAACTGTGCACATTATCAAAAGCAGATGGCAAGTACCGTGAGCTAAACCTCACAGACCTCACTGTATGTGTTTATGGGCAGATCTACAAAAGCATCATCACACATAGAGACTTGTTATTTGTTACTGAAGTACAGACCCGCACCACCCAGCATAAATCAAAACAAGTTACCACTGGATTTAAAAGTCAGTTTCCTGCAGTTTTATTTTAACATGAATAATTACTTATGAGACACTAAATAGGAAACAGTTTTCTTTTGCGTTGTTTATAATTAATGTATTTATTCTCTTACATTGTCATTCGTTTTGGGACAGCATTTGACTTCTCCCCTCAGGTGTAGTCACTGTAGCTCTCCCACCACCACAGCACCCGTGATCCATCTCCACAGTCCCCTGTACGCTGAACTTCCCTGTTTTCACCCCTCCCCCACCCCTGCTGTATGCTTCAGATCAATGGTCAGCTTGCAAGTTGTGTCTTTTTCTGGCTTCTTTGTTTGGTTTCTCTGTGTTTCACCTATAAGTGAGACCATCCTATATTTTTCTTTTTCCCTTTGACTAATTTTGCTTAGCATAATCCCTTCCAGTCCCATCCATGTTGCCATAAATGGCATGAGTTTACCATTTTTGACAGCTGAGTAATATTCCATTGTGTATATATACCACATATTGATCCATTAATCTGTTTTGGAGCATTTGGGTTGTTTCCATGTCTTGGCTATTGTAAATAGTGCTACAGTAAACAGAAAGGTGTAGGTTTCCTTTCAAGTTAATGTTTTTGTGTCCTTTGGGTAGATTCCTAGGAATGGAATTGCTGGCTCATATGGTAGATCCATTTTAGTGTTTTAAGGAAACTCTGCACAGTTTAGGGAAGGATTTTCTGAATGCAAAATCCATGAAGGAAAAGGGAAATCTAACTATAATAAACTCAAAGACACACACACACACACAACATACACGCACACAAACTTTCAAGGCAAACAACAAACTAGGGACAGCACAAATTCAGTGGCTAATAGTCTATGTGACCAAAAAAAGCCATGTTTAGAAAGATAATAAACCCCCCTACAGCAAACTGAATTGTATCCTCCCAAAGATATATCCATACCCTAATCTCCAGAACTTTATATTTGGAAGAAGTCTGCAGATGCAATGATGTCAAAGAATTCTGAGATGAAAACGTCATCCTGAATTATTCAGGAGGCTCAATGACAAGTGTCATATAAGAGACATACAGAGGAGATGCAGAAGAGGTGGCAATGTGAACAGGGGAGCAGAGTTGGAAGGATGCCACGTAGTGCACGAAATGCCTGGAGCCACTAAAGGCTGGAATATGCAAAGAACACCCAGAGGGAGTATGGCCCTGGAAGATTTCCAATTTCTAGCCTCTAGAGCCATTAGAGAATAAACTTCTATTGTTTTAAGTTAACATGTTTGCAATAATTTGTTAAAACAGTAGGATCAGTTTGATGAATAATAGAATGGGTAAAGAATATAAAATTATACACTCCAAATACTTGCTGAGCAACAATTATGTGCCCAATGCCACAAATCCTATGGACTCAGAGATGGCAGAATGGGCACCACATCACGTGTCACAGTCTAGTACCTCGAGTCCTGCCAGACCTGGAAATGATATTGGCCCTGCACAGATATGCCACCTGAGCCTCCCTTATCAAGCGCTTCTAGCAGACTGTCTTACAGGACCAGCAAACGCTTCATGAAGCCTCAGTGCTGCTCATGAGAATGCGCTGGGCACCCTTCCTGTGGGAGGTAAAAGCATGAAGTCCAAACTCTTATCCTGCCCACTTGCCAGCTCAGAAGACCCAACTCATGGAAGGGTCTTCCAGACCTAACAGACACATCTAACATTTTTTAACATACATTTCCAGGCTTATGAGCCAACAATCCCTCGACAACAACACAAAATGGAGCTCACATATCCTAACAGGTTTTTCTGCCTTCCCTGAGGAAGAATATAGCCATTTCCAGTGTGAGGCCCAGGACCAAGTGGTCATTACTATGGATTTATGGGCATCTCAGGACCCAGTTAACACTGACCCCAGGTTGTGCGGGCAACCTCAGCTCAGGCCCAGGAGGAAGCACCCCCTGTCCCATGTGCAGCAATTTCCAAGCCTGAGCATAAGGACAGCAACTCAGACGTCAGAGCCATTAATGGAGTTCTAGGCCCAGAGTCACAGCCGCCCCCACCAGCAGCAGAGACCTGATAGATGTGCTTCCCCACTGGATCCCTCTTCCTCTTGCCCTCCTCCTTTGCACACACATCCCCTGGAGCCCCTCCCTAGCCACAGCACACCTCCCTTGCTCAGGCCTCAGATGGGCATCCAGCCTCCCTCCTAAGCCTGCCTCAGCATCAACATATGGGGGCCAGACTGACTTCCCCAAATTCACAGTACCATCCAGGAGACCATCATCCACGGTCACACATGAGCTGATAGTGAAATCATGAGAGTTCAACTGAGATGGGTGACACGGGCATTTCTCTGATTGGCTAGCATCATTTGTGACATGGTGGGAGCCTTGGCAAGTGGGCTCTGGGAAGGCACAGCTTGCATCTGTTTTGCTCACTGTTGTCCTGCTTATCACCCAGCAGGCACTACTTAGCAAAAGTTTAATTAACTATGATCTCATATTCTTTTGTAGCACTACAGGGGTTTTGCAAAAGTAAAACCTATTCCTGGGCCTCCCTGGTGGCTCAGACGGTTGGGCACTGCACTGTGAAGCTATCTGCAGCCTCTGCAGCGCGGGTTCCATCCCCGGCCAGATGGCAAGAATCCCACATGGCGCAGCAGACCTCTCCTGCCTCGCCCGCTGCTCCCCTCAGCAGTGTATTTCATCAGTCTGCCTGTTTTGTTCCCCGCTCTGTCTCTGGTGAATCCTCTCACCCTCCCACGCATCTGGCCCTGTACCTCGGTTCTTGTATAAATAAATAAATCTTTTAAAAAAAAAAAAAGTAAAACCTACTCCTGCCCTCACAGGGTTAGCAGCCTTCTAGGGTACTTCAAACAGCATTGTAAAACCAGAAATAGAAGGCAGAATTTGAAATATCCCACTAAAAGATAACACAGATCCAAAAGCAGGTAATATTCATCCAGAATGGGGAGGGGATATGGGTCAGAAAAGGTTTAAATAATGAGATGGGAGTTGAAGTGTGGGCTGGATGTCCAGAGCTGAGAGGAAGATTTAATAGGTATCCCAAGCAAAAGCACAGCAAAGTGGGAGCAGTGTCTCTAGGGCATAATAACTATCAGCTGCAGTTCACTGGGCACTTGCCCAATGGCAAGACATGCTGAGGTTTAACACACCTGAACCTCAGAACAAAGGCAAGAAGGGCAGTTTAGAATTAGCATAGAAGGAAACACAGGCTCAGAGAGGTTACCTGATGTGGCAAGCAAGCACAGTACATGGCATAGCCAAGGGCAGAATCTAAATTTCCAGAACATACTACATTCTTTGCCACATCCTACTTGGCATATGTTGTTTGTTGAGCTGAAGACACCTAGAGTCTTAGGTATTCTCAACTTCTTCTGGGATGCAGAGTAGTAGTCTGATTCCACTTTGTGCACTGATTAAAGTTTGCTCACAGCATCTTATAGCATTTAAGGTACTCCCAACATCCCCATTCCAAGGTAAGATTTTTTTTTCATGCCTTCTCCCCTTTAGGGCAGACAATAAAGATGATTCTTAGGAAAAGCAACTCAACTTGGGTGACACTGGATAAAGCATATGGACTCCAATTTCTTAGAAACAATTCTTAGCAATGATGCAGGAGGAAAAACCGCTGCCGAACATGATAGGAAAGGCTGCCCTAATTTTATAATTTTGAAATGTAAAAAAAGAGAAAAAAAGTTGGCCTTAGAATCAAGCAGAATAGAGTAATAAAAAACTATCATTTAGTTGTCATCCAGTTATGAGGAAAGGACATTGCTATGACCCTTCTGTGTATGATGTCATCTAGATCTCTCAATAATCCCATAAGGAAAATTCATCATTGCCCCATTTTATCAATGAGGAAATTAAGATCCAGACCAGTTATGTATCAAATTCAGGTATGCTGGACTCCAAAACTGAT